TTTCATTAATACACATATCAATCAAGTATACAAAAGCAATGCAATAAGCTAGGAAGATTAATCTTACATATAATAATGTCCCACTCCTTTATAATACGGTTGCTTGTTCAGAAATTAAGCCCAGGTTCACACCGAATGCAATTTCAAAATAGTGCGATTTTGTCCCATTTAAAGTGCAACTTAAAGGGGGCGTGGCCTGACATGCCATGCGAGCGGTTGTTCCCTACAGTAGCTCCGGGTTATCCTCTGACAATCCTGCTCCATCCTGATCGTCCACGAGGGTAAGATGGCTCTTTTTTACCCCTAGCTTGTTGGGGCGCATCCGTACCTCCCTGATTAACGGTTTGGTACATGGGAAAGCACCGTAAGCAGCCTCCGGCAAGGATGAGCCTTGGCACCCGCACTTGCCAAGATGGCCGCCACTTCGCGCTCATCCCCGGCCTCCACTCTGGAGTTGTCTGGGGAGGAGCTGGAGGCCTCTCTGCCCTCCTCGCCTGCCTGTTGCTCTGGATCCACCGCTGCTCTCTCAGACTTCCCCCAGTGATGATGGTGCGGAGGAGGCTGCGGAGCCCACCCTACCGGATGTTTTGGCTACTATCAAGGTAAATCACTCTGATCTGATGGGGAAGGTAGAAGAGCTCAAACTTGATTTTACTCTTATGCAATTACTGTATACATAATGTATATAGGATTACTGTATACATGTCATATCACTATAATGGAGTACAGGGGAGCTGGGATATACATTACTGTATACAGTTTTATATTTTGGACTCTTTATTCTAAAGAAAAATGTAATTTCATAAGCTTTAAGGGGGCATGGTTGGAGGCGGGCCGGGGCAAGGTTGGTTGGGGCAACTGGTGGAGAGTAAGGTTTGTGCCTGGCTAGTAGGTCTAGACTCAAAATATTAAGCCCTGGCATAGCACATACAGGGAGGATCTGGCTACGCGTTTACATAACCTTTTTAATTCAGCTTTTGAGGATAGATCACTTCCAGATTCTATGAATGAATCTCCCATAGAGTTAAAAACCAAGCCTGATAAGGACTTGTTACAGTGTGGGTTGTATCGTCCAATTTCATTGCTTAACAGTGATGTTAACAGTTTGGCTAAACTTCTTGCCACCCGTTTGCAGAGAGTGATCTTGACATTAGTGCACTTGGATCAGTCTGGATTTATGCCTGGAAAGAGCACTTTTGACAATATACGACGTCTATATTTACATATGTTATCCTTGGATGTGCAAAAGGGCTTTGACGCAGTTCGCTGGCATTTTTTATGGGAAACTATGTCCCAGATGGGGTTCGGTTCCAAATTTATACGCTGGGTTCAACTGCTATATGCCAATTCCAGGGCTCGGGTTCGTACTTACAGGGATGTATCTTCGGCCTTCCCCTTGCGTAGGGGAACGAGACAAGCGTGTCCCCTCTCGCCCCTCCTGTTTGCTCTGGCCATTGAACCCTTAGCTTTGGTAGTTCGTCAGGAGGTGGCGATTAAGGGCATTCATGTTGGTTTGCTAGAGGGGAAAATTTTCATTATATGCTGATGATGCCCCGGTATATTTGGATGGCTCCGCTGAATCATTCTCTAGTCTGATGTGTGTGGTGGAGGAATTTGGAGAGGCTTTGAGTCTTCAGGTTGTTTGGGACAAATTGTTGGCATTTCTTATTGGCCCCATAGGTCCGTATGACTTTTTGTCTAGCACAAAACTGCAAATTTCACATCAATTTAGTTATTTGGGTATCCAAATTTATCTTTCCACTTTTGAATCGCTAGACTTCGTACTTGGGCTACGCTGCCTCTCAATTTGATTGGTAGAATTAATATTTTCAAAATGGTATACTTGCCCAAATTTTTGTATGTATTTAGGTCCTCACCAGTTTTTCTCCCTAGAAAGCTATTTAACAAACTGGATGAGGTTTTGTACTGTTTTCTTTGGGGTGGGTCTCACCCACGGGCGACCAGGGCATCGCTTCAGGCATCTAAGGCGGATCGTGGTGTGGCTTGTCCGAACCTCCATAATTATTTTATTGCCTCCCATCTGGCTTCCATGTACGATTGGTTCTGTGGTTCCTCTCCTACTTCCTCTACTGCTTTTCTCTCTGCCCAGTTTGGCTCTCTTCGGGATACTCTTTATAGGTTTGTTACTCCCATTACTTTCCGATAGACACTAGTTGGCTGGCTTGGTGGGAGGGAAGCAAGTTGTTATCTCCATTTCCTGGTGTATCCCCTCGGATTCCTTTGTGGTACAATCCGAATGTCCCTGAGCTTCTAAACCACCCTGATTTGGGGTGGTGGAGTCGTCTTTGGGTCACTCATCTTTCCCATGTTTTTTTTGATGGGTGTTTTCTGTCCTTTGAGAATTTAAAAACTCGTTATGGTGTGATTAATACATTTTTCTACAAATATTTAATATTATTATGGCATGCTTTCCGGGTTCAGTTTGGTACTTTAGCCCTTGAACTTTCCACTTTGCCCCTTGAGGGGCTCATGCTGGACCCTGATGTGATGAAGCTGGTTACTACCTTTTACACCCGCCTCCAGGCGGCCAGGACTAACCCCTTTCAAATTGCTCTTCGTAAGTGGGAGGCAATTCTTCCCGGGCTGCCTGGGGAGGGTTGGGAGGAGGTGGAGGAGGTCTGTTTTCAAGATCTTATTAGTACTGCTGGCAGGTTTATTACATTCAAATTCATACATCATCTTCACTATACCCCGGCGAGGCTGGCCCATATGGGCTTTGGATCGGCATCCTCGTGTCCCCGTTGTGGCCTTGAGGGTGCTTGTCTGTTGCACATGTTTTGGGCTTGTCCGGGCCTTGCTTCATATTGGCAGTTTTTAGAAAAAACTGTGCATTTGCCAATGCCATGTACCCCAGAACATGGCCTGTTGGGTATTTTGAACGATTTTTTCCCTCACACTCATTCTAGGACACTGATACGTTTGCTTCTGTTTTATGCTAGAAAACTTGTTTTGTTGAATTGTAAGGATACTTTGCCCACTATACACCGATTTTATTGCATGGTTAATTTAGTGCTGCCTCAATATAAGCTGATCTATAAAGGACGGGCCTGCCCCCAAACATTTACAAAAATCAGGCAGCCTTGGCTAGATATAGCAGACTCTTTTTGAGGAGATGTTCTCTTGTCACAACCATTGTCACAGGGTTCTATGGTTTGAGTGGTTGGATTTTACATGCTAATGATTTCCTGATTTGTAAGGGAGTTGATGGTGCGGGTGTTTGTGCCTGTTTGTGACTGTGCTTGTTTGTGACTGTTGTATATGTTTTGGCTGCTTTTGAATACTTCTGACTGCTTACCTGTTATGTTACTATGTTGTTTTGTGATTCTCTTTTGTTATATGTATGGAGTTTCTTGCCTACAATTATTTGTTTGTTTTTTAATCACCTTTTCTGCATCCTTATTCTTTGATTTTTGTTTTGAGTTCCAGTTATCATTTGTTTTTTTCCTTGTTCTGTTATTGTTTGTTTTATAAATGCAAAATAAAACCCCCTATTGAAGACGTATGTTGATACGAAAACGCATCTAGGAGGAGCCATTGTACGCCGTGACGTCGGATCAGGGAGGTCCGGTGGCCATCTTGCCAAACCAGCTGGTCAGTTTATTCAGCAGCCTGAACGCTGCTATTTTTAAAAGATACCTTGTGTATGTTTTTATGCTCTAATTTAAATACTTACAAAATAAATATTGTTGCATACTACACTATGGGCATCCATATTTCTTGCTCTGCACCGAGCAATTAAACCCCATCCCAGGACCCCAGGCGATCTATCCGGACTACAGGAGGGAAGCCTATGACCAGACCCCATTGCAGACAACCCGTTAAAGGGGCCCTCTGATTGACATCTTTAACACCCACATCTGCAGAGAAGGGGATCTTGTACCAGGCTGTACCCTAAAGGAGACCTCCGGTTGACTCATTTGATCAATGCGCATTAAGATTGCGCTTCCTGTGAGTGTGCAATCCTACCATTTGTCGCTTATCACCGGATGATTAGTAGCTTACACTGGGATATAAAAGCTGTCACATCTGCTATTGTTTATCTGGAACTATTACCGTCACCCAGCATATTAGCTCTGGGATTTTAGTCACCTTGTCACCTTATTTTGTGTGTGTGTATATATATATACATATATATATATATATATATATATATATATATATATATATATATATATATATATATATACACACACACACACACACACACACACACACACACACACATATATATATATATTTGCATTTTTTTGATTGGACGATTATTTTATACCTCTAGGTAATTTATGCATATATCATCTAACTTCAAAGTAGTGCTGATATAGACACAGGTGCCATTTCAATGCCATCTGCCTTATAGTCTATGAGAGTTAAATTACACTGAAGTGGTGAGAAAGGAATGCAGGAACTATTTTTCAAATCACACTACTTGAAATCACAACGATTAAGACATTAAGTGCCATAGGAATACATTAGATGCGACTTCAGATGTGAGTTTACAGTTCAGAACAGAGTGCATTTTTTGTAAAAAAAAAAAAAAATAGTAAGGAGTAATAAGTGGTTTAAAACAACTACATCTAGTAGGTGAACTTAAGAAAAATAAGACGCAGTAAACTTGATGTCAGAGACTCTGAAATACAGAAGTCAGCCATAACAGTATAACCACTGACAGGTAGAGTGAATAACATTGATTATCTCTATGCAATGGCACTTGAAAGTGGGTGGAATATATTAGGCAGCAAGTGAACATGTTGTTTCTGAAGTTTATATGGTTGAGGGCAGAAAAAAAATGGGCAAGCTTAACCTCCTGACCGCCATATAGTAATATGATGGACGCAAGGTGGTTCTCATATGACGTCCTCCCATTCTCACCGCGCATGCGCGGCTCCCGGAGCGCAGTGATCGGCGGTGCGCTGTGTCCCTCGGACACAGCGGATCACCGATCCACGGAAAGAGCCAAACATGTCGACTCGGTCATGTGATCAGCTGTGTCCAATCACAGCTGATCACATGTAAACAGGGAAATGCCGGTTATCGACATTTCTCTCCCCACGAGCTGTCACGCTGACAGCTCGTGAGGAGAGGAGAGCCGGTAATCGGCATTCCTCGGAGGGGACATGTACACAGATCATCAGAACACTGATGATCAGTGTGCCCTGATGATCTGTGTAGCCCCAGCAGAGCCACCTGTCAGTGTCCATCAGTGCCAGCTCTCAGTGCTCATCCATGCCATCTGCCAGTGCCCATCAGTGCCACATATCAGTGCCCATCTGAGCTGCCTTTCAGGGTCACCCATCAGTGCCACCTATCAGTGCTGCCAGTCAGTGCCTCCTATCAGTGCGCATCAGTGCTGCCTATCAGTGCCCGTCAGTGATGCCTATCAGTGCCACCTAACAGTGCCAGTCAGTCAGTGCCGCCTATCAGTGCCATATATGAGTGCTGCCTTTCAGTGCCCATCAGTGATGCCTGTCAATGCCCATCAGTGGCACCTACCAGTGCCTCCTCATCAGTGCCACCTATCAGTGTCCATCAGTGCAGCTTATCAGAACCCATCACTGCAGCCTCATTAGCGCACATCAATGAAGGAGAAAAATCACTTTACAAACTTTTATAACAAAAACTAAGAAAAAACTTTTTTTTCCCAAAAATTTTCAGTGGTTTTTGGTTTGTTTAAGAAAAAATAAAAAACCCAGAGGTGATTAAATACCACCAAAATAAAGCTCTGTCACAAAAAAATGATAAAAATGTCATATGGGTACAGTGTTATATGACCGCGTAATTGTCATTCAAAGTGCAACAGCGCTGAAAGCTGGAAATTGGCCTGTAGGAAAGTGGTTAAGGATTTGAGCTACATTGACAAAGGCCAAATTGTAATGGCTAGATGACTGGGACAGAGCAACTGAGAAACTGCATCTCTTGTGGGATGTTCCCGGTCTACAGTGGTCAGGACCTACCAAAAGTGGTCCAAGGAAGGGAAATCAGCGACAGGGTCATGGATAGCCAATGCTCATTGATACATGTGGGGAGCTAAGACTGGCCTGTGTAGTCTGATCCAATAGAAAAACTATCTGTATGTCAAATTGCTGAAAAAGGTAATGCGGATTCTGCTATAAAAAAATAAATAAATAAATAAATGTAAGAACATACAGTGCATCTCAGTTTGTTGCATATGGGGCTGATAGCCACAGACCAGACAGGATCCCCCTGCTGACATGTGTCCACAGCCAAAAACACGTGAGCATTATAACTTGACCAGAAGAAGGTGACCTTGTCTGATGAATTTAAAAATGGTTTAGGGAATACAAAAACAAGTTAGAGGTATTGACTGGGCCTCAAAATTATCTAAATCTCAACCCAATCAAGCATCTGTGGGATGTGCTGGAAAGGTCTTGATGCCAGATACCATAGAACACCTTCAGAGGTCTAGTGGAGTCCATGTTTCAACAGGTTATGGTGGGTGATCATAATGTTCTAGCTAATTGTTGTATATGACCGGTCTATTTAGTTGAAACTCTGCGGACATTGATCTTGCATTCTGATACCCAGCTGTCAAATAATAAAAACCTATGGTGCGACTGAGAGTCCACCATTAACTCACAGTTGTGCCATTGCTGACCTCTCCCTCTAAAAAAAGCCATGAAATGAGGAATGATCCTCCTATTTTTGGAATATATAATGGGATTAGACATACCTTCTGTTCTATGAAGGCTTTATTGTGCCTTGATTCAGTAAGGTAAATTTTAGATTTTTTTTTAGTACCTTCTTACTACAATCTGTACAGTTATACTGTTTAGTTGTATAAAAAAATGTCTGTATTTACATCTTACCTAGCTCTTCCCTGGTGAAGGGAAGAAATGTGATGTCTTCATTTAAATTCTTGCTGAAGTCAATGGAAAGGGTGCTTATTTTCTTCTTGATGGCCTTGATTTTCTGTGAAACATCAACAACATTTATAATCTTGTCAGATCATCAAAATTATCATATAATAAGTCCGTTTTAATTCACCTTGACCCCAATACCCATCTGCGGGCCCGCGACCAGTCAGTGGCTGCCAGCAGGTATAGAAGAGCGAGGAGAGCAGAAACATCCGCTCCCCTCCCCTTCATGTCCTGACCCAGAAGTGATGTGAAGTCACTTCCGGGTCCCTGTTGACAGATTCCTGGCCATCAAGGCCAATAAAGAAAAAAAAAAAAGCATAGAGTAGAAACATCCGCTCCCCTCCCCTTCTTGTCCTGACCCGGAAGTGATGTGGAGTCACTTCCGGGTCCCCGTTGACAGATTCCTGGCCATCGAGGCCGAGAAAGAATGCAATGCGGTGCGATGTGCACTGTATTACATCCAGGGGAGCACAGTGGAGACATGCAGGGTCTTTTAGACCTTGGATGTCTCAAAAAAAAAAAAAAAAAAAAAAAAAAAAAAAGAAGAAAACAAAAAAAGGAGAACCTGTCAACAAAAATCAAATTTTTTATTTTTAAAAAATTTAAGGTTACACCCACGCATATAACCCCTGCAAAATTTTTCATGGCCCCCCACATATGTGCACATGTACAAACGTAAAAGCAAGCGCTGGGGCGCCTACGCATGAAAATGACGATTGCGATACACGTTACAAATCACCACGCATGCCAGAATGAAAGCAGTAATTCTAGCACCAGACCTCCTCTGTAACACTAAACTGATGACCTATAAAGGGGCTTTAAATGTGTCACCTATAGAAAATATAGGGTTACTAAAGTCTGTTGCCATTTCACGAGCGTACGCAAATTTAAGGTTTGACATGTTGGATATCTACAGTATTTACTCGATGCAACCTCATCTATTATATTTTACAAAAAAACTGGATAATTTATTGCTTTTTGTGCCTAAAATGAACATGTGTATTTTTGTGATAATATCGTGTGACATACCACTGCTATTTTATTTTTCAGAAAATATATAATGTTTGAGTTTTGTGCAATCTTCAGGCCTAAAATGATTTTTTAAATGTGTGCAAAAAAAAAAAACGCAAAAACAGCTCTGGCAGGGAAAGGGATAAAGGATAAACCTGACACTCCCCTTCCCTGACGAGCACCCAATCGGTGTTCATTACACTGCAAGGTCTCTCCCCTTCGTGCTAGTCCCCGGGTGTGGTGCTGGAGATAGGCAGGGAAGGAGGGAGGAGGAGATATACAGCGCAATGCTAAAAATATTAAAAATGTTTAAGTTGCAATAAAGCCCCTTTTGTTTTTAAAAGCCCCAGACATTACATAAAGCAAATTTAAATATGTGTTGGTTTAAAACATTTTTTTATCAGGACAAGTAGATAGTCAGGAGGGACATGCAGATTGGGACACCAATTTAGTCCCCGGACAAGTAGTTTTTTCAAAAATTTCCCACACTCCAGAGGTAAAAACCTTCTGTGTGAAGAAGCTCCCTCAGCCCCCTTAACCCCTTGCCCTACAGAGAATTTACTCCCCTTCATGACCAGGCCATTTTTTGCGATACGGAGCTGCATTACTTTAACTGACAATTGCGTGGTCATGCGACGCTGTACATACATTTATGTCCTTTTTTTTTCCCACAGATAGAGCTTTCTTTTGGTGGTATTTAATCACCTTTGCGGTTTTTATTTTTTGCGCTATAAACAAAAAAATACTGACAATTTTGAAAAAAAACCAAAACAATATTTTTTGACTTTTTGCTATAAAACATATCCAGTAAAAAAATAAAAATCAATGGATATAGAGTCACTTGTGAGCCACTGGAGTTTGTATTCCATATTAAAATATTAATAGATCGCAGGCTCCCTTTCACATCCTCATATATATGTGCAGTTAAGGGACAAAGATTATAGTATTAGGGTGCCGTGCTCTAATATTGTATAAACCTGATTATTATATATAAATAATAAGATTAATAAACCTGGTGATTAAATTCTTCATGATCATTATTAGACATGTGCATAAAATATCAAAACGTGGTAACCAGTGAATAATCATTCAATTTTAAATACTGTGAAATAAAAATCCAAAAAAATATATAAAATGTCCAATAAATATAAGTCAAAATAAATAGAGAAAATACTGTGGAAAACAAAAAATGTTATTAAAAAAGTCTCCAATTGATGTGAAAAAAAATGAATCCAAATGATAGTGAAAAAAAATGATAAAATGTCATTAGAAATATATATGGAAAATCCTGTGAATATTCCAAAAGTCAATATACTCTCCTTCTAATCAGCCTAAAGATGGATATATGCTGCAATGTGATCCTCTGTAATGCAATCAGCTCTTGATCGTATAGACGTAAAGATAACTCCCTTCTCAGTCTCCTCAATCCAGTTTTCTATAAATCCTCATAGTAACCAGAGAGAAAAGAGAAAATACAAAAGGTATCTTATCTTTTTTTGGATTTTTATTTCACAGTATTTATAATTGAATGATTATTCACTGTCTAATAATGATCATGACAAATTTAATCACCAGGTTTATTAATCTTATTATTTATATATAATAATCAGGTTTATACATTATTAGAGCATGGCACCCTAATACTATAATCTTTGTCCCCATTCTGATGCTCGGTTTGAACTTCAGCAAGTCATCTTTACCACGTCTAGATGCCTAAATGCATTCAGTTGCTGCCATTCGATTGGCTGATTAGCAATTTGTGTTACTAAGCAATTGAACAGGTGTACCTAATAAAGAGGCTTGGTGAGTGTATATGTGCAGTACCACAGATAAAATTTCTTAAGGATGAAAACAGTGCTACAATTAACATAAATCCAATATATGACTTGTGAATAGGGTGCCCTTGTGCATAAACCATTAAAATATATTGTGTCATCAATCCATAAAATGAACATTCCTTGTGCACAATCTATGTGCGTTCTTGCGTGCCTTTAAGAAAAACACACACACACACTGCACTCACCAAATGCTGACTTCTAATAAAAAAAGACAGATCCTTCAATGCCTTTTGATATCCCCAATGCAATTATCAAGAGAGTGGGGAAAGCTGCTATAGTGTAGTATTTTTATTTTAAGACTGTTTTAAAGGTCCTTTAAGACCATACAAGCCAACAGAAAATTAAACCCGAAATGCCGGTTTGCATTCCACCTGTGTTCCAAACAGTGGATGTGGCGTCACCAGGAGCCCCTTCCCACGCTTTTAGTCATCAAGTGCAACATCATCAGAAGCATAGGTCGCTGGATTAACTTACAGATAAGTCCTAGTTATGAAGTTGATCATTAAATTGGCAATGTAATAAAGGATGGCCCAGCTATAGATTGGATTGATCCGGGTGTAGTAGGTGGGAATTTTCTGTATATAAAAAGGCAGAGGTGAAGACCCTGATGACGTCAGACATTGCTGACAAAATGTGTTGGGTAGGCTTTCCAAGACAAATAAT